CTAGGGCTAACTTTCACACCATTTTGGCTTTTCAACACTTCTTTTTGTAGCTTAGGCACCCCTACAACTTGCATGATTCTGCCATTTTGCTTTGCACACAGGAACACAGATACAACTCCTCCATCTGCGCAGGACACATGGCTCCTTGGCTTGCCTTGTTATTGTTGTTCAATTCGCGCTTATTTGGAGATTGCCAGCCTCCTCCTACTTCATGTTGCTTTCTTAGAGCACCTACCTTCAGCATTGACATAGAGGCTGCCAGCCTATGTGTGAGTCTCATTGCATTTTAGAAATCAGGATCCTCAGGGCTCAATTACAGACTGCCAACCTTTGTGGTTTGCATTGTCTCTGGCACACAGTCTTTTCAGTGTTCAGTTACAGGTTGTCAGTCTCTGTGGCTTGCATTGATTTTTAGTGCAGAGACAGAGGTAGACAACCTGTAACAATTTGGAACACTGAACAGTCAAGAAGTTGATGTGTCACTTTGTGGTGCCATACGACATCAGTGTCACACCTGCTGCATGCACCCAACAGTTTACACTGCAAACACACAGAACATGCTTCAAGCAAATTGCCATGTGTGACAATCAAAGGAGAGTAGTTTTTTTTAGTGGATCATGGTCAAATGATCAATCAGTTCTGTCCTGTCAAGTCAGTCCTTGGGGTTTTCTGAATAATGGTTATGGGAGTTATCAGGAGACAGTACATGCAATCCTAGGGAGGGCAGAGACTCAAGTCTGGGAGTGAACATCATTGTAAGAATTTGCTAAGGGAACAGTCATTGAGATATTGAGCAATTCTAGATAGAAGCATGGTACCTTATAAAAATAAAGAGGAGACTGGGAACTCCAAGTCAGGACATTCTCATGGTCGCTCAATCCTCTACATGGGGTGGCGTAGGGCCATCAATGATATTGCAATTTCCAAAGTCATGGGTTCTCGGGGCAAAATGGACACATTAATTGTAGTATAAAGGAGCTCTACTGAAATAGGGAATGCTGAAAGAGCATCGAAGGCACAGGGACAGCAGCACAAATGGGAACATCAAGGAAGGTAGAATGTACTGGTGCCAGAGGTAAGGCATGGAGTTGGAGCCTTGTCATATTGGATTGAATGTCATCGGCACAATAATCAAAGAACTCTCCCACCCAGTTATACTCTCTTCCACCAGGCAGAAGGTATAAAAGTTTGAAAACACATACCAACAGATTTAAGAACAGCTTCTTTGCTGCTGTTATCAGACTTATGAATGGACGTGATCTTTCTTTGCATCCTCTCTATAGCTGTAACAGTATATTTTGCATTCTGTTCTATTTCCCTTATGTACTTATGTAAGGTATGACTTGTCTGGTTAGCATGCAAAACAATACTTTTTACTGTATCTCAGTGCATGTGACAATAATAAATCCAAATAATAAACCCAAATAATGGGTGGGTATTCTAATTAGCAGGATGTTCCTAATGATTGCCTACAAAGAATTGTGTTGGGGCCTCAACCAATGACTGTGTGCGTTAATGCCTTAGTTTATGGGATTCAAGTCCAAAGATGACACAAAGTTAAGTGGCATCACAAGTATTATAGATGGGAGCGTAAAATTACCAATATGTATTAATAAATTAAATAATTTCGACAAGGTTAATTTGATAAGGTTCCACATAAAAGGTTATTGCTGTGCAATGTAGGAGCTCGTGATATTTGGGTAACATACTACCATGGATAGCTAATTGGTTAGCTGGCAGAAAACAGAGACCATGCATAAATAGATCTTTTTCAGAGATCACAGTGTATGACTAGTGGGGACCCGCAGGGGTCAACATTTTTCAATTTATATTAATGACTTAGATGTGGGGAATCAAAGGCATGGCAGCTAATTTTGCAAATGAGATGATGTTAGGTTGGATCTATGTTGTCAAGATGATGTAACAAGAATGCAGAAAGGTACAGACAGGTTAAAGTTGGCAAAAACTTTGCAGATGGAATATATGTGGGAAAGCAGGAAGAATAAAAAAAGAGAATTATTTGAACAGAAAGTGACTCCAGAATTACAAGTTGCAGAGGAATATTACTGTTCTAATCCATGAGTCTTAAAAGGTTAGTATGCAGATACAGCAAGTAATCAGGGAGGCTAATTGGATAGTAGTCTTTGTTATGAAAGGAATTGAACACAAAAGTAAGGATGTTAGGTTTCTGTTAGACAGGGCATTGATAAGATCACACAAATACTGTGTAGAGTTTTAGTCTTGTGATTTAAGGATAGATGGATATCCATTGGAGGAAGTTCAGTGGAGGTTTACTAGATTGATACATGAAATTAGCACATTGTTTTATGAAGAAAGATTGGACAGGCTGGGTATGTTTTTACTACAGTTCAGAAGAGAAAAAGGTAACTTGATTGAAGTTTATAAGGTCCTGACCTGGTCTTGACAAGGTGGATGTGGGAAGTATATTTACTTGTGGGAAGTCCAGAACTAAAGTATATGGTTTTAAAATTAAGGATTATCATTTTATAATGGAGATGAGAGGATTTTATTTCTTTCTCAGAGGGTTATGTAATATTGGAACTCTGTCTCAGAAAATGGTGGAGGCAAGGTCACTGAACATTTTTAAGGCAGAAATAGGTAAATCCTTGTTTGGCAGGGGAATCAAAGATTATTGGGTATAGGTGGGAAGATGGAATTAGGAACTCAAACAGATCAGCCGTAATCTTATCGAATGGCATAGAAGGCTTGAAGGGCCAATGACCTACTTTGATTGCTAATTCATGTTTACATGCATATTTGTATATTGTAACATGAGATTAAAATGTGGCACAGGGATTTCAATGTAGGTCATCCACTTTGGACCTTAAAAATGGTGAAGTGAGAAACAGTGGAAGCCAAGGAAGACAGGTCACGAAATTGCATCATTAAGAGCAGAAAATAAGTCGATTAGCTTTTTTAAAATTATGATCTTTATAACTAGAATGAAATAAAACAAGAAGGTTGAGGTTATGGCTCAACTCTACAAAGCTCTGGTTACAACATACCTCGAGTGCTAAAAGTAGTTCTGGTATGACACCTTAGGAAGGATATATTACCCTTAGTGGGAGAGCTGTGCAAATTTTTAGAAAGATACTTAGACTCCAAGAATTAAGCTGTAGATTGTTGAAAGTGGAATGGTAAACTAAGAAATAAGGTGTGTGTGGGAGCGTGGACTTTGTAAAATAGACACATAGATTATGAGTGCAAAGAGGGTATGAACCATAACAAAATATAGATTCAGTCTCAACTGGAATACTTTATATTTCAGAAAGGGTGTGAAGGCTACATAAAGGGTGCAGAAAAGATTTGAGAGAAAAGTTCCAGAAATGAGGAACATTATTGCATAGATTGAAGAAACTAGGGTTATCTCCTTAAAGAAGAGAAGGTTAAGAGCTTTTTGATTAAGATGTTAAAAGTTGTAAGGATCTGAACAGGGTAGTGGAGATTCAAAAACAAAATGCTACAGATAAGACAGTGGAGTGGAAATTAGGCCATTCGGCCCATCCAGTCTGCTCTACCATTCAATGATGGCTGATAAGTTTCTTAACCCCATTTTCCCACTTTCTCCCTGTGGCCTTTGACCCCTTGACAATCAAGAACCTATCTATCTCTGCCTTAAATATATTCAATGACCTGGCCTCCACCACCTGCTGTGGTAATGAATTCCATAGATTCACCACTCTTTGGCTGAAGAACTTTCTCTTTGTCTCTGTTCTAAACGGTCTTCCCTTTACCCTAAAGCTGTGCCCTCGGCTCTTAGTTTCTCCTGCTAATGGAAACATCTTCCCAATTTCCGATCCGTCCAGACCATTCAGTATTCTGTAAGTTTCAATTAGATTCCTCCCTCATCCTTCTAAATTCCATCAAGTATAGACCTAGAGTCCTCAAATGTTCCTCATATGTTAAACAATGCTTGAAACATGAACTAAATATAGAAAAAGCCAAAAAGACTGAGCAGGTCTGGCAGCTTCTGGCAGAGTTAGCACTTTTTGCCAAAACCTATCAGATAGGGATTAACTGTCCTAATTGGTGGAAGAATTGAGACCCAGACAATATCTAATTAAGGTGAATGGTAACAGAAGCAACTGTGGGTTAAAGATGAACTTTTTTTACGTAGCGAATGATTAGGATCATGAATACACTGTGTGAAATGTGCTGGAGACAGATTCAATCATGGCTTTCAAATGTGTATTGCATAATTATCTGAAGAGGAACAAACCTGCAGGGTTACTGGGAAAGGTGGGGCAATAGAACTAACAATGTTGCTGTTGTAGAACAGGCACATACATGTGGGCCGACATATGATCCCAGACTCATAACAGTATGGCTGTTGCTTAACTACCCTCTGAAATGGCCTTGCAAATAAGTTGTATAAAACCATGACTGAAGACAGCACTGTGGATGTACCTATACCACACAGACTATGGTTTGCCACCACCTTTCTCAAAGCAGTTAGGGATGGGTTCCTAATATTGCCAACAAAGTTTACATGCCAAGAACAAAGAAAAGTAAACATTGTCTGTTTGTATAAATTGCCTGGAATGCTGCTATGGCTAGATAAATTGTGAACCAGACAATAACAGCTTCTTGAAACTCTTTTGCGCTCCCAGTTTCAAAGAACTAAAATTAGCTAAAGTTAAAAAAAAGGAGAATCAGCACACATCGACAGAAAAATAGTTGCAGAAAGAGTGGGCCATGAAATAAAAATATCAAGCATCAAGGGAGTAATGTAGAATAAATTAGGAGCCATAAGTTGGGTTAAGAGAAACTAGGATGCTAGAAGAGATATTTGGCAATTCTTCTTCTCGGTTCTAATCTCTCTAACCTCACCCCAATCACATTGCTCCTTTTTATGACACTTCATTCATCCTATCACTTTAGTACAGAATTTTATTTTAATGATAGCATCAAGAGTTCAATTCGTCTTTAAAAATAAAGAAGAAAGCATTAAATTCTGTTTGATGATATATCTGTGATTTGACTTGAGTCTTTTGACTAAGTTAAAAGGTGTTATGCACCCAATTCCACATATTTATGCTTAATAATTTTAAAGGGTGGAACATCTTAGTTTGGAATGTCACCACAAATTTCTCTATGAAACATGAGAGTGCAGGAGTGGAAGATAACTTTTAATTTCGATACTTATATCCAAAACATTTGCTGGATTTGTCATTCTTTCTTAAAAATTTATGGGTTTTTTCTTTTCTCAATTGCTAACCTTGCTATTTGCGGATTGCAGGCAGAGGGGAAATTTAAGAAAGGAAGTAAGGATCTGGTTAAAAAAATGAGCATATAATCAACGTTAATAAAAAAATATTTTAATGACTGTAGTAAAAAATGGACTATCAATATCATAGCTTTCATCATCTGATTCTTCTTCTGGAGACCATTCACAAGCTACACGTGATTTTAAAAAGGACACATACTGACCTAAAATGGCTGCATCGATCACCTGTCCACAGACTGGGGCAAGTACAGGGAAATTAGATAGAATATATGAAACCAGCTGCATTAGAATTACCATTTTAATTAGGAAGTACTAAAATTCTGGAGATGCCAAGAAATTTGTGTCTCTCGTTTTATTCACACCTGAATGATGAAGGTGAAAGGTTGTCTACAACTATTCAGCTTGGAATGAAACAGTGACAAAGACATCAGAATTTGCAAAGGAACTGTATATCATCAAAAGCAGCCTTAGACCAACAAAGGAGAAAGAAAGTAATATCAACTCATAACAAGAATACTGAAAGCTCTTCTCTCTCCATCTCCCGTCTCTCAATCACAGAAACCAGCGCCGGTGGAAAAGCAATTTGGAAAAGCCACCATTCATCCAGAAATTGATGTTATTTGCAAGCTTAATCACTCCTGAGGAAAAAGGAAAACAGCTAAGCAGTTGGAACCCAGGTTTCAGTCCTGCTTTAAACTCAACTGCCCTTACCTTCCTGTCTATATATAAACATCTCCCCTCTTTACTTTTGAAGCTTATTCCCTGTGTTCTTTGTCTGTGTTTTCACTTTTACTCCGTTTTTCAGGGTATTAGTTTACAAAACTCCTCTTTCTTTTACACAAGAAAAGTTGGATTTGGCTCCATCATTTTCACTGAGTCAACTAAGTTTTGTTCTTACATTAAGTTTTAATTGAAGTGTGATAGCTGCAGGCCAGAAAAGAAGTAAATTATTTCTTGTGCCGAATCAAAAGGTGGTTAAAATGAGAGTAACTGATCACCCCTCTTCTCCAGTTTTAAAACTATCAATTTCATTCCATTACACATTTGTTTGGTTCACCTTTGGAGAAATTAAAGTAGTACATTTACACAATGCATGAATGTCTAGTTTGGGCTACAAAGGGATACTTTTACATCCAGAAGTTACACTGTTGTAAAAGTAAGTTTAGGGCAGTATAGATCAACTCTTATAAAAATGAAGTGTCCGGCGAATCCAAGAAGGCCCCTATGAAGGGCACCTATGAAAGGTCTGAATCTGTAACATTTATATCTGTCAAAACTTACTCTTACTTTGTAGGTTATGTGATTGCTGTGATTGCAGCTGTATCTTCCTTTTGGAGATGCTTTTGGCTCTATTGCTAATTTTGTTGTCATTTATTTTGGACTGAGGAGAATAATCACTGGCAGTCAGGTATTTGAGCAATTCAGTGCATGGACGGCGCTCAACCTGTAACTTCTGCTGCTGCCAAATATTTCTTGTCCTGATACTTGACGTTGACTCCACCTAATAAAGATTAAAGAAAACAGCATTACTAAAAATGTGAATACATATTATTGAAGATACCACTTGAAAAATAAAGTATGTGATACTAAATAACTTTCACAATTAAGTAGTTGCTCCTATTGTTTTTGTTTTGTACATTTAACTGCATAACTGAAAGTAGCAGCTGGTAAAAACAAGGCTGATATTACACAAAATTAACCTTGGTAACTATTGAGATCATGGAAAGAATTGATGAAAGCACTTAAGGAGTTCTGTTTTTGTGTTAAAGTTCTTCTGTTTCTTTAAGGAGGGGACAGAATCACAAGATCTATTGATTGTTTTCCCACATATATAAGTGACAGGATGATGCTTGGACATAATCGTGTTGCACCTTACTAACTCAATCAAGAAGTTTGCCAAATACCTTTTCATGAAGGTAATGAAATTTTGAGAAAATACTTACTGGATCTTATCTAATGAGTGGACACTGACAAATTTTAGAGAACAAGGAAAATAAGTCGTTGGAAGCTAAGTGTTCTGGTAGTATCTCCTTCTACAGATATTGAAAATCCTGCCTACTGTAACTCTACAACAACTTCAGTTTCTAATAGGTTTGCAAATGCTTAATCATGCAGTATCTACACAATTGTAGTCTTTAGTATAACATAAGTAGAAGTTGGTGAGCCACCTTCTCGAACTGCTGCATTCTGTACGATGAACATGCTAGGTAAGAAGTTGAAATGAAAACAACAGTGGTGAAGACACAATGATATATTTCCAACACAGTTGACCTTTGACTTGGAGGGGAACTTTGAGGTGCTGGTGTTTGCATGAACCTGATGCTATTGCCCCTCTTGGTGGTAGAGGATGCAAGTTTGGGTGGTACTGTTAAAGGCAACTAGGTGAATTTATGCAGTACATCTTGTGGATGGTACACACTGCAATCAGGGTGCACATCACAACTGATTAAGATGCTGGATGAGATGCAATCAAATTGCCTGGTTTTTCCGAGATGCTGTTGAACTTCTTGAATGTTGTTGGAGCTGCATGCAATTAGAGAGCAGCGACCACACTCCCGACATGTTCACTGTAGATGATGAAAAAACTCTGCAATTTCAGGTCACGAGCCACTAATTTCAGAACAAACAGCCTCTGCCAAGTTGTAGCTGCAATATTTATGTAGTTGGTCCAGCTAAGGTTTTGGTCAATGGCGTCCTCAGAATCTTAATGTTAGGAACTCAACAATGATAGTACCATTAAACAGTATGGAGAGACAATTGAGTTCCCTCTCCTTGGAGTTGGGCATTGCATGGTATGAATATTGCTTGCCCTGAACCAGTCCAAGCTTGAACGTGTCCAGCTTTTGCTGAATACAGATACAGACTGCTTCATTATCGGAAGAGATGTAAATTTTCAGGGAATGGCAGAATAATGACAATGTTACTAGATTAGTAATCCAAAGGCTTCGACTGATCCTCGACAGACATAAGGTAGTTGGTGGAAATTAAATTCAATTAATTAATTTAAAAAACTGGAACTGAAAACAAAGTCTGAGTAGTAGTGACCATGAAATTACTGGATTGACATACGAACGCATTTAATTCACCAACTTCCTTCAGGAGAAGTACTCTGCTGTCCTTACACCTTTTGGCCTGAACTCCAAACGTACATGATGTCATTGACTTTTAACTGGCTTCTGAAATCAGCCACTTAGTTCTATCAGACTGTTAAGTAAGAAGCTTTCCACGGGTCTGGCAGCATCTGTGAAGGAAAAAACAGAGTTAACGTTTCGGGTCCGGTGACCCTTCCTTAGAACTGGGTTCTGAGGAAGGATCACCGGACCCGAAACGTTAACTCTGTTTTCTCCTTCACAGATGCTGCCAGACCTGCTGAGCTTTTCCAGCAACTTTGTTTTTGTTCCTGATTTACAGCATCCGCAGTTCTTTTGGTTTTTATTTAAGAAGCTTTCCACCATGTTCTCAAGGGCAAATGGAGACACTAGACAAATGCTGGCCTTGACAGTAATATTCTACCTTAAGTTAAAGACAAAACAATGCGCAATCATCAGTGAACAATCACTTCTAACATTATGAATGGAAGGAAACTAATTGGGCCTGAGGCACTACCCTGAGGAACTCTTGCTTGGAAGTTCTGGTGGTTAAGATGATTGGTTTCCAACAATTATAACTGTCCCCTCTGTGCTGTGACTATGGGCAGTGAAGAGTTTCCCCAGAATTTGACTGAGTTTGATTTTACTTGGGTTATTGCTGCCACTCAATCAAATACTTCCTTGAAGAAAAAGGTAGCAAATTTACTTCACCTCTGGAAATCAGCTTTGTTAGTAATGTTTGAACCAAGGCTCGAATCAAGTCATAATGCCGTGGCCCTAGTGAAAACCAAACTGAACCACTAAGTTGTTAGAGTACAGAGAAGACTGTTTGGCTTGTTGAATCTATACCAGTTCTTTGAATGAGAAATTCACCACTCACCCACCTTCTCTCCATGACCGTACACATTTTTCCTTTTCAGTTAATAATCCAATTCCTTCTTGAATCCCTCATTTGAATCTGCCATCAGTGAGCAGGCTGTTGTTAAGTGCCACAATAACTTAGTTGAGGACCCTTTCCATCATGTTGCTGAAAATAGAGGGTAGACTGGATGGCATTGACATTGGCCAGATTAGTTTGGCCTGCCTTTTCATGGACAGGGAGACACTTGGGCTGTTTTCACTTTGTTAGGTTGGTGTTCTAGCTTGATCAGTGGCATTGCTAGTTTAGGTATACAAATCTTCAGTAATACTATCAAGATATTGTCAGGGTACCATATCTTTTTTCGCTATCTAGTACAATCAAATATGATGTTAAATAACTCACTCTAAATATCTAATTCAAAAATTCATTCTTTTGCACACAAGGAAAATAAATAATCCATGTGGCTTCTTAAAAACCAAAGTTAATAATCAGGAAGGATTATCAAAAAACTTTCCAAAACCAATTTCATCAGTTTAACCTGAAATTACTCTGAAGATTTATGGCATAAAATGATATCTTCCTTGCACATAACACTCTGATGACAGCACTGAAGCGTACCTTGACAACAGCCGGGCTTGGTCTAATCCTGTTATTGTTGGTCACGTGGGTGTGGGTGCTGCCTCCATTGCGTTCATTGTAGATAAGCTGTGAATTGGCAGGAGCTAGCAAGAGCTTCTTTAACTAGAAAAATACAACCAAAATACAGGGAAATTTAATGAAGCATGAAATAAACCAAATCTACTGGTGAACAACTTCTCATCAAATTGTATGTCATTTAAAATAGTCCAGTTTCTAGTTACCATGGTATGCTGTTGTTTTTGATCATTTCAGAATACATATTAACGAACTATGGTGAGAAAAAACATTTTCACATGCAAATACTGGTAAGAAAACCATATTTTCACATGCAAATATTTAGAGACCATAAGTATTATTGCATCCAAGCTACTATTAAAAAAGTTACAATTATGAGGATAATAAGATGGTTATGCTTTGAGACTGTTACTTTGAAGTAAAATGAAGGGATCAATTGGCTTGTGAAGTCTGCCTTACACTATACCTAGTGGTTTAATTGTGAAGAAGCTCAAGGAGACAGTGGTGTGGAATATTCCCGCTGTAGGATCATCACTGCCACTCACAGGTAGGACAGCAGGTTCTCCTCCAGTCTGTCTGGGAACAGCGGGAAGTCCTATTTTTCAGATTGGCAGCTAAAAGCTCTGCTCCTGATCTGATCAGTTTTGACCAGTGAAGTACGCTATAATTAGAATCAGCCACACAGTTGTTTCCACTCATCCCACTGTGGTCAATTTCATCCTCAGGGTTTACTGCAAAGAACCCTTACTGATGTCACAGACATGTCTATAAATACTCTTGAGAACGTGGATTATTCTGCAATCTCCATCAATCAGGTTTTACCTCATGGACACCCAGCCCTTCAGTAACTTACACCTGTCATCATTAACCCTCCCCTATCATCCTGTGGTCGTAATTCTGAAAATCTGTCCAGCCTACGGAAGCTGAATTTCTGTCTCCTACACAATTAAGCACCTGTGCCTCCTTCATTTTCATTTCTAGTAACTTCACAAGATTTTGCCTAATGATTAGCAACCAATGGTTAGATTGAGTCTCAAAATCCCAACAAGTGTTGAGAATGTCAGATTGTGCATTAAACTGTCTATTTACATCAAATACAAACTAGAGTTTATATTTCTACTTCTACATGAATACAAGGCCCACGTGAGTAACATTGTAGTGGAAATGAGTTTTGAGCAGAGAAGGGTCACAATACCCTCAAAATCTCACAAACAAGGTTAACTTGCCAGTCTTCAGGAAAATGAGAACAATTAAAAGCTAAAAGTCTCACTAGTTCATCATGTGGGAACGTGAATGCGAGTTTGTGCTTGAAAAGAATAACTTCATGAGGGGTCAAAGCAAAGCTGGAATTGCCTAGTTTGCTCCAAGGGAAGAATCTCTGGGGATAAAACAAAAAGCAGGCCTGAAATTTTAAAAATTCCAATGCTGACAAAGAAAAGTCCTTGGGTGATAAAAATAGTTTTGAATTGGTTCTGGGAGAATTGAATGTCCACATAAGGAACTGTGTAAGGTACATTTTCAATTGTGCTAAAAAAGAAAAGGGAAATATTCTGTATTATTGTTTAAAGTATAAGGTTTCTACAAAGGTTGCATTTACTCAATATTGTAGTTTAGACTATGTTTGCAGTTAAAGTTTTAAAACTTGAAATCTTGAAGATTTTTTCATTTATTATTTGGAAGTTTGAATTTAATACTAAAAATTAGCATCTCTGCATAGATCACATTACTCTGTTCTTAAAATGCAGTATTGATCTTCCTTGATGTTACATTTTTATAAGCATGAAATGCTTTCATATTTCTTGTGGCGTTAATTTAAAAATCCAAACCTTATTTTGATTACATCATACCCATGCAGGGTGTAGCCAGAGGCTCATCCAATTCTTGTTAAACAGTAGGAAGGATTCTTACTAGAGACGGCTCTTCAGCCTCCGGATTCGGAGGGGTGCCGTCAGGCGTTGAGGGAGGGCCGGGATCATTGACATTGGTCACATCCCCATCTGTCAGTGCATCAAATGAAGGCAGTCCATCCTCATCTATTGGGATGCTGTCCAATGTCTCCGTTAAGGCAGCCAACAAGTTAGCCTCATTTTCTTCATCCATCTTCTGCCAAAAAAGAAAGTATCCTTTAAAAGCTTATCGTGTAAATCATGCAAGAGATGTAATATTTGCGGAAAAATGCAGTTTGCTAAAGAAAACACTGGCAACTCAAAAAGGCATGTGGTGAATGATATTACTACTGTAAAACTCAGATTTTCTTTTCATGGAAGTGTGCAAATTGAGTGTATATTTTTAGTTATTTTAGCTGATAAACGTTATCGGTATGTTAATATACTTGTGCACCATATAAGGGCTTAACACTCACCTCTTCTTCTCTCCACTGGGAAATGCTCAGACCAGGAATTAAGTAGAATGAGACTTAAATCTAGCAGATTTGTTGTTTCTTTGCAAGGTGTTAATGTGTAACACAAATCTTTCAATTGATTAACTAATTTTCAAAGTAATTACTTATTCAGCATATCATTGCATCATCTTCTTGGCATCTGCAATAACTAGGCAACTGTAAAGTGTAATCCTTGTCACAACCCTGGTGGCAACAGTGCACTGGAAATCAGGCCCCGCGATTTTACAAGTCTTCACAAATGTGAAATATGGCCAACCTAAGAATGGTTAAATACTTGTTTGTGACCACTACCAATGGTGAAGAAATTCATACCAGGTTTCATCAATAAACAAAATGTGGAGGTGCCGGTGTTAGACTGGGGTGGACAAAGTCAGAAGTCACATGACACCAGGATATAATCCAAAAGGTTTATTTGAAATCACAAGCTTTCGGAACATAGCCCCTTCATCAGCTCTGAAAGCTTGTGATTTCAAATAAACCTTTCGGACTAAAACCTGGTGTCATGTGATTTTTGACTTCATCAATAAACAAGGCAACAAAAATACTTTATTTATTATCCTCTAAAGTACAGCAAAAACAGATTATTAATTATGAACATGCACACTTAAAGTATATCCCTTTTAAATCCAAACACACATACATTCATACATAGGATGGACAACACAGATGAGACAACCCTTGCAGAAATAGCATGGGTGGAAAATATAGACACCAAGTTTGCTAAATCAAGTCCAAAACGGATGGAGTGAAGTGACTTTCTTACAGTTCTTTTTTGGGTTTTTACAATTATTTCACATTGTTATCAACTGCTGTCAATTCTTTAGCCATTCAGTTGAGCGTAGATTTGGCTTGAGTTAGCAGTTCTTTTTTCCTGCAAGATCTTTGAATTTGATTTCTTTTCCACTCACAGAGGGTAAGAGAGAGAGAGACAGCAATTGTGCTTACTTGCTAGGCTTTTTGGAGGTCTGAGTCCCAACTGTTCCCATTCCTCTCAATTCTGTGACAAACTGCCACAGACAAATAATCCACAGGCTGTTTATGGGCAGTTACATTTTATAAAGCTAAGGCAGTGGTGGAGTAGCAGCATTCAGGCTCCTGCTTGTCTACGGCCTTCTTCCATCGATTTCTCCTTTTCTTTTATTTTTCTTGTTTTTTTTCTACTTTACTTTTGTCTACTGTTCTTTCTTACTTTTTGCCATTGGAAAGCTCAGCTCTGGCTGAACTGGCAGCATTGGCAATGGCAGTGAGTGTGGGCCCTGTGGCGAGAGATCGTGCCAGAGCGTGGCGACTTTAACACCGGTGGGCCCAGTGCAGGACTCAAAGTGGTGGCAGTGGCACCGACATTGACACTGGCTCTAATGTCAGTGTTGGCTCAAAGGGTTTCACTCTTGCATTTAGTTGGGGAGGTTGTGGACTCTGACTGATCATTCAATTGATTCCAAGATGGCGGCAGCATTGGCGAGATGGGCCCAGCAGCGAGTGATGGCGCCAGAGTGTGGTGACTTCAACATTGTTGGTGGGTCCGGTGCAGGAGGTGGCAAGGCACAGGACTTGAGATGTTGGTACTGCGACAGTGAAGCAGCCATTGCAGCGGTGGCAGCATTGCAGTGTTGGTGATTCCAGTGCAGGTAGTGTTGGTTGGTCCAGCTCAAGGCTCATGGCAGTGGTGGTGCCCAGGGTTATCTGAACATTTTCTTTTCCTTTTGTTTCTGTTTCTTTAATTTCTGCCCTTGTTTTTAATTCTAACTTTTGTATTCTATGATGGTGCTGGACAGTGGTGACTGTATACACTTTTCATTGTACTCCTGTACTCAGCACACATGACAATAAAATCTAATGTAATCTAACTTAATCTACATTTTGTTTCAAAGATCCCTAGCGCTGGCATTTCTCACAAAAGTATCAAATCTTGTATCAGGACAAAAAAACAGTTCCACTTTTCCTGAGTTGTAAAAAAAAAATTTCCTAGTTTATTGGCTGTATATTGTATTTTTTTGATTGTGTCAGTTAGAGTTATTGAGTCATAGAGTTGTACAGCACAGAAACAGAACTTCAGTCCAACTTGTCTACGCCAATCAGATATCCTAAATTAATCTAGTTGATTTGCCAGCATTTCGCCCGTATACCCTCTAAACCCTTCCTATTCATTTATCCATCCAGATGCCTTTTAAATGTTGTTGTACCAACCTCTACCACTTCCTCTAGCAGCTCGTTCCAGACACACACCACTGTCTGTGTGAAAAAGTTGCCCCTTAGATCCCTTTCAAATCTTTCTCCTCTCACTTTAAACTTACGCCCTCTAGTTTTGGATTCCCCCAAAAACTGGGGAAAGACCTTGGCTATTCAACCTATCCATGCCCCTCAGGAACAGAAACACAGTTGCTGGAAAAGCTCAGCAAGTCTGGCAGCATCTGTGGAGGAGAAAACAGAGTTAACGTTTCGGGTCCGGTGACCCTTCCTCATGCCCCTCAGATTGTTTTGAGGGTTTTTCACCATGATACCTTGTGAGATTTCTTGCCATGTTTTACCAAACCCACATCATTAATTATCGACAACACCCCATGGCATCATTCACTCCAATTTTAGCCCCATCCATTATCTACAAATCACATGATCTCTCACTGATATCCACCATGAGACCGCCATCCTTTGTATCAGTGCCATCTGAGCACTTGGACGTGCTGACAATCTGGCCTTGCCCCCGAGAGCCTCCATGTCCTCTTTAACCCCAATAACACCCAGAGGCTCCATATCCTCTTTAATCCCAATAACCGCCGTAACTTCAATATCCTCTTTAGCACCGACAGCCACCAGAGTCTCAAGATCCTCTCTAACATGAATAATCCAATATCCTGGTGGGCAGATTTGCTAATGCTGCAAAGGACGGTTTAAACTAGATTGGCAGGAGGGTGGGATCATCAATAGCAGGGAGGCAAGTGCGAGGCTGGAAGGAGATACAGTAGTCAGAATTTGCAAGTTGAAGAGACAGGTCAGGATGGAACAGGACAGGGAGCGAGGAATGCCTGATGGATTAAATTGCATCTATTTCAATGCAAGAGGGCTAACAGATAACGCTGATAAACTCAGGGTGTGGATAGGTACATAGGGGTGGGATATTATAGCCATTACAGAAACATGGCTCAGGGAGAGACAGGACTGGCAGCTTAATGCGCCAAGGCACAAGTGCTTTAGGCGGGACAGAGGTGGAGGAAAGAGGAGAGGGGGAGTTGCATTTTTGATTAAGAGGAGTATCACAGCGATAGTCAGAGATGAAATAACAGGGATCATCCAGTGAGGCTTTGTGGGTGGAGCTAAGAAATAAGAAGGGGATGGTGACATAATTGGGGTTGTACTATAGATCCCCAAATAGTATATGGGAATTAGAGGAACAAATACGCAGGGAGACTGGGGAGACTTGCAGGAGCAATAGGGTTGTCATAATAGGAGATTTTAATTTCCTAACATATATTGGTAATGCCATAGTGTTACGGGCAAATTCATGGAATTTGTTAAATGTGTTCAGGAAAGTTTCCTTAAGCAGTATATAAAGGGTCCTACTCAGGAAGGGACAAAACCCGATCTACTCTTGGGAAATAGGGCAGGACAGGTGACTGAAGTGACAGTTGGGGAGCACTTTGGGACCAGTGACCATAGTTCTATTAATTTTAAAATAGTTATGGAGAAGGACAAAACTGGTCCATAGGTTCAAGTTCTAAATTGGGGCAAGGTGAATTTTGATGGAATTAGATAGAAGCTTGCAGGAGTTGATTGGAGTAGTTTGTTTGCAGGCAAAAGGGACCTCTGGCAGTGGGAGGCCTTTAAAAGTGTGATAGCTAGAGTTCAAGGTCATATGTTCTTGTGATGGTGAAGGGTAGGGTTGGCTGGGGTAGGGAACCCTGGATGACAAGAGATATTGAGGCTTTGACCAGAAAAAAGAAGGAGGCATGGCTCAAGTACAGGCAGTAGGATCAAGGGAATCCCCGGAAGAACATAGGGGCTACAGGAGTTTACTGAAGAAGGAATTCAGGCAGGCAAAAAGGCGGCACGAGATAGCTTTGGCTGAGAAGATTAGGGTGAATCCAAAGAGATCACTTAAGTATATTAAAGGAAAAAGAATAACTAGAAAGAGAATAGGACCCCTCAAGTGCCAAAGTGGACATGTATGTATGGAACCGCAAGAGATGGGTGAGGTCCTCAATGAATACTTCTCATACTACCGTGGAGAAAGACATGAAGTCTTGGGAACGTGGGCAAGTTAGTGGCAATATCTTGGGGACAGTCCATATCACAGTTTAGAAGGTGTTGAAAGTATGAGAATGTACAAAGTTGGATAAATGTCCTTGTCCTGAACAGATATATCCAAGAACCCTGCAAGAGGCTAGAGAAGAAATTGCGGGAGCCTTGACTGATAATATTTGCATCATCGTTAGCCATAGGTGAGGTCCCAGAAGACTGGAGGGTAGCAAATTTTGTGCCCTTCTTCAAGAAGGGCTGCAAAGAAAAGTCTGGGAATTATAGACCAGTAAGCCTAACATCTGTGGTATGTAAGTTACTTGAGAAGATTCTGACGGATAAGATACACATGCATTTGGAAAGACAGGGTTTGATTAGTTATAGTCAGCATGGCTTTGTGAATGGGAGATCATGCCTCACAAGTGTGTCAGACTTCTTTGATGAAGTGACCAGGAAAGTTGATGAGGGC